ATACAGGATACAGGATACTGGATACTGGATACAGGATACTGGATACTGGATACTGGATACTGGGTACATGATACTGGGTACATAATTCTGACCTGCCACTTACAGATTTTAAAATATTGGGCAAAAATCTACCAATTTAGAGGAAAAATTGCCAATTTAGAGAACTTGTCTACCAATTTTGGGGAAAAGCTACCAATTAACGCATAAAATCTGCCACAAACATGATTAATGAGCGTTAAATCTGCCACAAACATAAACTTACTGCAAAAAATCTGCCACAAAAATTATGAATGAGCTTTAAATCTGCACAAACATAATCTCAATGAATGAAATCTGCCACAAAAATTATCAATGAGCTTTAAATCTGCGACAAACATAACCTTAATGCATGAAATCTGCCACAAAAATTATCAATGAGCTTTAAATCTGCGGCAAACATAACCTTAATGCATGAAATCTGCAACAAAAAGTATGAATGAGCTAAATTTAAATGCCACAAACATAATCTTTATGTAAGAAATCTGCCACAAAAATTATGAATGAGCTATATATCTGCCACAAAAATACTCTTAATACATGAAATCTGCCACAAAAATTATGAACGAGCTTTAAATCTGCAACAAACATTATTTTAATGCATGAAATCTGCCACGAAAATTATGAATGAGCTTTAAGATTTATCACGCGAATCCTCTTGCCTTAGATTGACCAGGAAGAGGTTGCTCTTGTTCATACTGCTGCTCCTCCTGCTCGTCTTGGATCAGCTTGACTTTATCGTTGAGAATCCTGCATTTTATCTTCTTAATTTTCTTTTCAAACTTGGCGCCCACCTCCTCCACAGTTTTGTGCGTCCCCTCGCGCTGAGCGAAGAATTCAGCGACACACTTTTTCTTTAGCTTGTTTAGATTCATTTCCTCTCCCTGTAACATCAGTTCAAACGAATAAAAAAAATTGTAAAAGAAAATACCCCTTTACCCCATAGGCTGTAATCTACAGTGATCAATTTCCCCAAGGCCGTAATCTGCAGTGATCAATTTCCCCAAACGGTTGAATTTTATCAATCCCAAAAGATACAGATAACTGATTGATCTAGGGATTGACTGAAGAAAAATGTTTTCTTCTGAAAAGATATTTTACAATGTAACACCTTGCCACCATTTCAAAATTATGAATATTGTGATTGAACTTTCCTTGCTAAGTAGACTAGTAATAGTTTCATCCCAATCAAATTTAGTTTTCTTAGAACTAGGTTCATCTACTTTCATTGATTCGTCCAGTTTTCTCTTGTTCGTCTTATTCTCCTCCACCTGGTCCTCCGTGTTCTCTGTGTTCTCCTTGTTGTTTTCCTTCTTCTTAGATTTCTTGGATTTTGGCTGAGGAGTAGGTTCAGGTTCTTCTAGATGTTTCTCTTTCTTCTTCTTTCCCTTTGATTTCCTAGATTCTTCAACAAGTTCAGGTTCAGGGGTGGGGGTAGGGTTCTCGTCAGCATGTTTCTTCTTCTTTTCCTTTTTCTTCTTCCCAGATTTAGTCTCGTCGACCTTCATTTCTCCTGAAAGGAAAACTTTAAAATTGAGGATATCAAGATCAATGCTTGATTTCTTCTTTTTATTAATCTATAGAATAATTTAATCTTTAGATTATATTCCGGAAAGAGTTCAAAAATCCACCAAATAAAGTGTTAATTCAAATCAAATCAAATCAAATCAAATCTATTGATCTTGATTTCCCTAGGATTTATGTCTGGGATTGTAACGATATCAAGGGATTAAATGTTACAATGTATTATGTATAGAGTTAGGCCCATAATACTGAGGCATTCAGGCATTATAATAATAATTATATAACTAATATAAGCATTATAATTAATATAGTTTTATCGGTAGCTTGATAATTAACTTATAAAGTGAATTGGGTCTTTGTTCAATGCACAATTTATCTGTTTTTATGTTTATTGACTATTTTAGTTCATAACAGTCGACTGCCATAGTTTTATGGGTTTGCTGTATATAAGATTATCAACATATTAGAAATTTTTAAATTGCACCCTGCGACCGTTGGATTTCTCGTACGTGAAGCAATCCGGCTGGCAAGCACATTTTTGGTACAGCCGAGAGCCTGCCTATCCGAACATTTTCTAAATTATTTTTTTATTGAATGAAATGTTTCAGCGACTTTTCGCTCTTATTGCAGCTACTCCGGGGTCCAGTTACAAATTTACATACAACTTAAATCAATTTTTTTTTTATTATTCTTATTGGAAAATTTTTGCCACAAACTCTAATTTATTAATTCCTTTATCTTTGCAGCCTAATGCTGTACACCTTAGATATTTCAATGAATTCAGTGAATAATTTAAGTATGAAATATTAAAGATTTACGCCATCAGATATTGGGACTATAAAATTTGAGTTTTTGGCAAAGACAGAATTTCTTTAGAACTATTTTGGTTTCTATTGTTGGAGGTGATAGAAGGGCCTGGTTATTCTGTTCTAAAAGTTAACCCTATCCCCGCTGGGGTACTTGAAAACCAGGATACGCCGGGGGGGGGGGCAGTTAGTATTAAAGCCCGGTTTTAGGCCTAAAGGAAGGGCTTTGGGTATGTAAGAAAAGTCAGAAAATTTCAACAGCCTCAGACCAATACTTTTTGAGTTATGTAAAAAAAACTACAGGGGGGGGGTCAAATTGACCCCCCCCCCCAGCGGGAATAGGGTTAAAAATAGTGAGTTTATTATAAAAAGAAAGATAAGAAGAAGAAGGAAATCTCATAAAAAGTGTTGAGCACCTTTCTGCGGAAACAATATCTTAACACACGATAAAGTTTTATTGAAAACATATTGGAGAAATTCAACAAACAAAAAAATTCATTTTTTTTCTGGATAATACATTACTTTCGGAAAACGTCATATTAAAGTAAATTTCAGGTTAAATTATTAAAATCTTTTTTTCAGTAATAGCTCCTCTCTGTGAAGAGCTGTTTACGTCAAATAAAGTAGATTGCAGGTAATCTTATATGTTTTGAATCATAACTCTTCTCATTGAAGAGAGATTGAGAAGAATAATTGTTTTCAATTTCTAATATACACACGGATAATATTTTTCCGTTTACTTTTTCGTTAGAAGAGCTACGAAGTCTCTAAGACGCACAAGCAATGTCGCATTAATTTGACCTTCTTAAAGGGACCTTCTTAATTGAAATTCATGTTCCCCCAGATGTTCGTTATTTTTTGTGGTTTTAATCGCGGAATTGGGGAAAATTAATGAATTTTATGGGAAAATTACATTTTTTTTTGGGGGGGGGGGGGTGAGGGATTCTTGAAAATATACACCACTACTCTTTGCATCAAACAATGTCTAACAATAATTCAATTAATTATTACTCTTAAATATGACTGGAGTTACGACCAATAGACAATATAAAACGAATTATCAATTTAATTATCAATTAGCATGGAATTGGGAATAACGACTTTATCAGTACAATAACATGCAGGGTGTCCGGCCGGGGGCGTAGAGGGGGGCCGGTACTCCCCCTCGAGCCAAAGACAGGCTCTAATTTGTTAATCTATACATAGTGAATATGACTAAGCCAGGGACTCAGAGACACCAAGAAATACTTAATGAGACGCGAATTGAACAGAAATTTTTTGGCGCTTCGCGGACATGTCTTTATAAATAACTAATCCAGATCCAAGTTAGGGTTTAACAACCTGTTGACAGTATACATTTTAATTAGCGGTTTGAAGTATTTTTTGTAAACACAAGAAGAAGCCATCAGTATAATAATAATTTGGTATATTATTGAGCACTGAGCCAACCCTTAAACATTTAAAAAATGCTGTTTTTTTACCTCAAATCAAAGTTTGTTTTTGCTCTTTTACTACTGTATTTTATAATGGTATGATTGGTAATTATTATTCCACATGCCAGCTCATAAAAAAACCAATTGTGAAAATAAAAAAGATCAAAACTCGAAAAACATATTTATTTGCGGAACAGTTTTCATTACAGATAATTTACATTAGTTTACAAAATTTAATTTTATTTATATAAAAAATCAAGTCTCACTTTTAAATTTATCATGTCAAGTTTAAAACTGAAGATTTAGCCCTCACAGGTTCCTTTACAGATCCAACCATCATCTGAGGATTAAAATAAATCAGAATTTTTAGCAGGGGCGCATCAAACTAACATCTCAGGGGGGACATATGCGCGCAATTTACTTTCTCAACCATTAGAAAAAAAATTCTGGCCATCCCTTAAAAATTGAACAAAAAGCAGTAAATTTCCAATTTCTTATATACTATCACATTTAAAACAAATTTTCCAAATGGAGAAATTCAGTGTCGTTTGCTACTTTTTTGTCTAAGATTAAAGATACACGAAGTGTTTCTATTAGACAGTCGAAAAAATGATAAGAATGAGGAAATATGGTATTCGAACTTTAGGAGAGATGAAGGTTACAATGCAGGATCAGAAAACCGATTAGTCTTTAGCATCTCCAATTCCGTCAGCATTAATGGCAAATGTTGCCTCTCCTTCGGGTAGACAAGGACTGGCGTAGATCTTACATATTCTAGTCTCTCCTCGACCCGTTCTAAAATATAAAATCCTTAATTTAAAGAAATTAATCCGGAAAAAATGCAACTATGTTTTTAATCTGTTTAACGCTTTTACTTATTCTATTTTTAAGGTTAAAATTCAATTTCTGAACTATAAATCAGAAGCAAACAAGAAGTAAAGATCAGTAATTTAAAATTTTAACACAAAGAGGTGGTTGGTTACGAATTTATCTTTTTAGTCAAATGAAATTAGGAAAGCTATGTCGAAACCTTAACATTTCTCAAAAAACTTGAATTTGATTTTAGATGTCATTTATTTACATATTGTACGGAAATCGTTTTTAAAAATCCACAAAGTGTGCACGAAACCGGTTTCAATGGGATATAAAAGACGCTTTATCGCGTCGGAAAAATAAAGAACCTTTTTAACCTAAAGAATAATCATTCTCTGAAATTGAATCATCAATATATTTTTACATGAAATATAATCTGGTGGCTGATGCAATCGACATAACATTTTCAATAGGTTTATTTCGATCTGCATTAAACATAGCGGCACCGTCTACTTGAGCTACAACCTGCAAACATCAGATGGAAACCATTTATAGACTTAAGAAAAAACCATCCCAATTATCTAGATGATTACAAAGAAATCTAACCGCTCATAGATGTAAAAACAAAGTTTATTGTACAACTCAAAGGTCAATTACTCTCTCTTTCTGGTTTGCTATTGGGAGTATCGACAATTCTGGCTTTTAAGACATCTTTGGGCGGTAAAAATGGCCTAGTTGAGATTAAATGTGTACAATTCCTTTAAAATAGCTATTCTTTTAAAGCCTTAATTACCTGATTTGTAACGACGACGGCGACACCAAATTCGTCGCTGATCTTATTCAATTGTCGCATAAATTGACCCAAGTGCATCTGGCGAGCTGACTGTTTACCCCGATCAGTTCTGAACATTTGTAATAAAATTATTTTAGTTAATCATTGGACGAAGAAATAAGTTAGATTTTTGTTTCTTTAAATTTTAAATAAGATCTTGTTTTTTTGTCAACAACAAAAAACAGCTATTTTTCTAATTTATGAATCACAAAAACTTTGAAAAAACATTGAATTTCTAACACAATTCTGATTTTCCTTTTACACCTGAGAAGTGCTTGAAGCTTAAAACATTCAGAATCCTCTATTTCCAATTGAAGAAAGGGAAATACCTGAATGTTCCTTCTGTATCTATGTACAAACATTTCCCTTCAGCTCCTCCGTTATCTATAGGTATCTGGCATGTTACAGCCAGGGTGTGACACAGCTGAGATTTTCCAGTTCTAGTCTTTCCAAACATCTCAGTAACAGATCCAGGCTCAATACCTCCGTTCAATAGTTTATCCAGCTCACGAGATCCTGGGCAAACAGGAGTTAGTTACAAATATTACCACTAGGTGTCACTAGGTGACGGAATACTTTCTCACAAGATCAAATATTTTCTCACAAGATCAAATATTTTCTCTAAATACCAAATATTTTCTAACAAGATCAGATATTTTCTCAAAAGCTTAAATACTTTCATACAAGATCAAATTTTTTCTCACATGATCAAATATTTTCTCACAAGATCAATTATTTTCCCATGATATAAAATATTTTCTAACAAGATCAAATACTTTCTCATAAGATCAAACATTTTCTCACAAGCTCAGATAGTTTCTCACAAGTTAAAATGTTTATACCCTAGTTACCTGTTGTGATTTGAATCATTTTTGATCTTTTGAGATGATTCTCTAAAGCTGTGGGGAACACCATTGTTCTGACAAACATGAACCCCTCCACCTGGATCTTCTCTGCCTCAGCTTCAGATATACCCTGCACCAAACAAACACTTTTAGAGGTTTACAGGGATAAAAAATTTTCCATGTTTACGGGGATATAAACTTATATATGTTTACAGGGATATAAACTTTAATATGTTTACAGGAATGAACACTTAAATATGTTTACAAGGATATAAACTTTTTAGGTTTACAGGGATATTAACTTCTATATGATTACAGGGATATAAACTTTCATATGTTTATATGGATATAAACTTTTATATAATATACAGGGTGGCCAAAACTTTTTTGAACACATCCGTACAAAAATCCGTACATTTTCAGAAGAAATCCGTACAATCCGTACAATTTTCGAAATACAATCCGTACAATTTTTTAAAAAAAAATCCGTACAATCCGTACATTTTTTAAACCAATCCGTACATTTTTTTTAAAAATCCGTACAATCAGTACAATTTTCGAAAACAATCCCATTTTTGAAAAAAAACATTAAAATTCAATTTTTCATTCATTGTCTTTTTTGTTCAGTTCATGTAAGAGGGTTTAAACTTCTTCAGCAAGAATCAATCTGTAACAAATTG